CAAAACAATTTATATTATATTATTTTAATCGTGAAGTATTTGCCTTTGAAAACGAAAAAGAGCTTTGTGACTATAAAATTAAGAAAATAAAATGTTTTAAAAATGTATAAAATTTATAGAAACATTTTTTAACATTTAAAAAACAATATTATATATTTTTCAAGTCAAAAACTAAACTATCAAACCCTCAAACAAACCCCTCACAAAATACAGTATCAAACGACCTCCCTTTGCGACCGCGCCCACCTGTTAGTTTTCCTCCACCATGTTTTCATGATTTCCTTGTGGTAAAAGCTGGAAGGATCCAAAGGATACTCCAGGCGACCTCCGCTTAAAGATTTGAACCGCTCCCAACTAGGATGCTGCCTTCAGCTGCTCCTGTTTCTGTTTCTTTTTCAGATTTTCTGTTTCTGTTTGCCACTTGAGACGCCCCTCTTTCCCTTTCCCCCCGGTTTGGGCCATAAATTTCTGCGCCACATTTTGCCATTTTAATGAATGGTTTTTTTAATGCAATGTTTTTTGGGCTCGTTACGGGCCCCGGGGCTGCTTTAATTTATTGACTAATTTAGCCAAGAGCAAACGCTAGTAATAGACACTTTTAGGCTCTTGGCAAACGGTTTTTGCCTTTTTAATTAGACGCTATGTTTGTTTTTTTTCTTCTGCAACAGAATTTAATTTAATTAATGTCGATTTGATGGCAACACTCTTGGCTGAGAATGTTGGATAAATAACACCATAAAGTTCCGATTAATTGGGGAGTAGGGGGAAGAGCATCTCTCGCATTTACCCAAGCTAACCAATTTGCGCTACAAGTGAATGGAACAAAACACATGTGTTTATGGCCTCGCCCAAAAATACAACAAAGAGCAACTCCTTTTGCAAACCCGTTTAACCCATTAAATTTCACATTTTTACCCTTTCTCAGAAGCCTGTTAGACAGAACTGGCCCAAGTTTATGGCTGAAAGGAGGTTAAATGGAAATTAAAAATAGCTAAAAATCAAAAATTGTTAGCTTATAAAATTCAGAAATAATACATTGATTAAATTATTTAATTTAATAATAATTTGTTAATCACATTTTAAATTTTTTAATCAAAGAATTCTTTTCTTTAAATAATATTTTATGGTACTTCTTTATATTTTTTTAGTTACCCGCTTTTGGAAAATTACTAAAACTATATTAAAAAATCAATTTTGAAAAATCTTAAAAAACTTCTGTTTTTCCACATTTTTAAATTTTCAGCAAAAATTTTTAATGTTATATTTAGGAAACTCGTTTTCAAACACTTTTATATCCTTGAAAAATAATTGAAAATATTTTAAAATAAAACTGAGGCTTTTCTGTACTTTTTAATATTTCAAAATTTTTTTAAGGCTTTTTAACGGAATATTTAAGCCCTCCTACTTTTATTTACATTGAATAAAGTCATAAAATAAGCTAAAATCCTTCTAAATTTTCATCACTAAACATTCGAATTTTTCCGTTTCCGTTTGTAGCTCCAAAAAAGTATGCTACGTTTTGTTTGCTTTTTTCGTACATATTTTATTTTCTGCGTGCGAGATTTTATCTGCCTTCCACACCATTGCTGATTTTTTCTTGCTCGTCCCTGTCCCTGTCCCTTGGAGTTTTCCTCGCCTTCTCCTCTGGTGTTTTTCCCCCCCTTGGTGGACACCTTTTGTCATCGTTTTCGCCTGCTGGGCTGCGTTCTTCGCGTCCTGGGCGCGATAACAGGCATCATAAATCCTTGGCTCCTTGTAAATGGCACCCCGACGGATCCCACCCTTCGTCTATGCCGCAGGAGAGGGGGTGTTGTGGAGGAAAAGGAGGAGAGAGCGACGCCTGTTTAGGCGCCTGAAACAGAAACAGCTTCTGTTTCGCTTTTGGCCATCGTTTGTTATTGTTTGCGGTTAGTTGGCCACACTACTCCTCCCTTTTGGCTTTCCTCCCCTCTTTACATATATCAAACTCAGAGGCAGGTCAGCTCCCGGGGGAGGAGTGGAAAGAGGGGGTGGTGTGGGAGCCTGGGAAAATTCCTCCTTTAGTTTTCCCTTAGTCGCGGTTGGCTAAAGATTTAGGTGGGCTTCGCTGAAAACTTTAGGCATTAAATGGGAGAGTAATTTTTAAAATGGAATTTCTATGGGAATTATGGAGCTAATAAAAAATATTTAAAAATTAAATTCATAAAATTTTTAAAGTATAAAAAGTTGAAGTTAAGTTAATTTTTATTAACAAAATAAGATTTTATGCATTATGACACTTGCTGCTATGAAATCAAAAAGCTTAAAAATAAGGTCACACTTTATCTTTTAAAGTAAGTTTAAAAACGGTTAGTTTGGATTTTTCCAGAATTTTTAAACTTCCACTTTTTAAATTTTATTCTTAAATATTTTGATTTCTGTTAAATAATTTAAGCTTTTCATAATTATTATTCATTATTAAAATAAATTAAATTATTTTTCTCTACCCGTTTTTTTTTTTTAAATTATTCTCTTATTGATTTAATATATTTCAATATTATTTATGTCTTGAAATTATCGCCTACTTGATTTACTCTTGTGTATCGCTTCAGCTTTTTCGCACACCTTTTCTCCTTCAGTTGAATCATTTTTCATCGCATTTCCATTTTGGATATTAAAAGTGATTTATCCTCAACCAAAATCCTCGCCTCTTTTCCGCCGCTCTTACCTTGGCCAATATTAAGAGGAGGACTTTCCCAACTTATCGGCTGATGTTCATACACTTTACTTATTTTCCCTTTTTCAATTTTGAAGCTTAGCCCCTAAAAAGGCAAAATATTGTTGCTGCAGCAGCGCAATGGAAAAGCGTGGAAAACGGCGTAAAACCTCAGCACGTTGCTCATTTTGCCGGGTGGGAGAGAGGTGACGGCGGAGAGAGTGTTGGCGACAATTTGCCGGCCAAAAGGGATTAAAAAGTTGCCAGCGCTGGGGATTCTGCATTTATGCGGGATGAAAAACCCTGGCAGGGGAAAGGGACCTAGGCCAGTATCATGTGCAGCTCTTGCATCCGGTTGCAGTGCAAAAATTTCTCACTTTCATACCCAGGCTTTCTCTTTTGCTCTTGCGGTGAATCCATTTGCATTTGCCAACCTAGGGGATCCCCCTCGTATTTTTGCCAGCCCGCTTTTCCTCTGGTTTTTCCTCTTTCTGGCAACTGACGACGACGCCTGCTGTTGTCCGTCGTGTTAATAAGCCTCCCTCAAAGAACCACGCCTATTGCTGGCATAGTGGCACTGGAAAATATTTTTATAGTTTTAAGGGGAATTTTTCTTTTTAAAATTAAATTTTTTTTGTAATGTTACTTAATCTTTTTGTAAGCTTGAAATATTTTATAATTATAATTTAATATATTTTTTTTCTACTAACATATATTTTTTTATGATTTTAATATATTTTTTTAATGGAAATTATATTAAAATTAATAAAGAAAATCATAAACCCTCTTTTTTATAAATCAAAAATTAATAAATATTTCAAATAAACTCCTCTAGAATTAAAATCCAATAGAAAAACTTGTTTCCAGTGTAATTTTCTGCCAGACTAGCTCCTCTGCCCCTCCTTTGTTCCTCCTTTTTCCAGCAGGACGCTGGCTAATGCAATCTTGACAAGCGTTGTCTTGGACAACCGAAAATGAGGCTTGACACTTTTGATTCGGTTTTACCAGGACCAAACCTCTCTTAGAATCCTGGAATATCCTGAATCCTGAAAAAAACTAAAGCTTCACTGCATCTACCAGACTCATGGCGAATTTTTGATTTGTCGGATCTCGGACGTTGTTTGTTGAGCCCATATATGATGGGGGAAAAAGTGGGGAGAAAATGGGGGGAAACTAGGGGAAAAGCCTGCGAAAAGCTGACGGAACCGAGACAAATGCCAGAAGGCGACTTTTTGATGGCCAAAAAACCGGCCGGAAAGTTTAAAGAGCCAGCCATTTTATGCAGAGTTATGGGCGCAGCAATAAAATGAACCCAAGAGAGTCTTTAAACTCGGAAAAATGTTTAGAAATGAAAAATTTTATCATTAAAGTTTACTTTAAAAATAAGAAAAACAAAGAAAATTACTTGAAAAAATAAATTCAAAAGGAAATAGACTTAAACTGATCTTAAAAATTAATACAATATTAAAAAAAAGAAACAAGAGCTAGGTAAAAATGCCTATTTTTCAGAAAAAACATTTTAACACCTTTTTTTAAACCTAAAAGTATTTTAAATGAACAAAACTTTCAATAAATATATAAAAAATACAAATAATTTAAAAATTTTAAACTTCAACAGTTCGATAGCAAGTCCTATCGATAAGCTACTGTTAGCCAGCGTTAACTAACAGCCACCACTGAAGTTAACAGCACTCTGCTAACTCACATTGGGCTCTAACATGGACGCAATGGTGAGCAAACACTAAAGCCTGCAGCTGCCAGCAGCAGTGTTGCCAACTATCGTTCGTCTTTTATAGCTAGACAGGCCAAATTAAATAGCTAAAAATGGCAAACATTTTAATAAACTAGCTAAGTAAACCAGTTTCTTTTATAAATGTAAGCACAATTTATTTAAGTGGGCAACTTAGCTTATTGAACAAAGCGCTCCGCTCATTTTATTTGTTTTGAGAAATAGCCAAAATAACAGGCTTCTGTAAAATTCAGAGGTTTTCAGTTATGGGTCTTGCAATACAGCCAGATCTGGCCATAAAATAGCTAACTTGACAACACTGAAGAGCAGAGAGATGTTTTGAAAACATCAATGACCCACCACTAGCTGGCAGCGAAACGATACCCCAAAGAGGGAACGCAAAATACGGTTATCTCAGTTGCTTTTTGACTTTCTTCGCAACAAGTCGTGGGTGGATTAGCGGTTCGCTCTCAGTGGAAATTCGGCACGCTTGAAAGTGAAAACAACACAACAAAAAAAATAAATAAAAATAAAACCCAACCAGCGGCGAAATATTTAATTTTGCCCAACCAAAAGAGCGGTAAAAATAAAACAGCGAGACCGAAAAAACCCTTCAAAACGTGAAAAGTGCAGTGCGGAAAACTAAAAGAAAATATAAAATTTGGCGAGCGGCGAGATAAATGAAATGAAAAGTTAAAAATAAATATATATGCCATGCGGCGAGAAAAAGAAGCAGCAGCGAGGGACGTGATTTCTCTTGTGTCTCCTTCGCACTCACTCTCGTCCCCGTCCCCGTCCGCGTTCCGTCCCGCTTCCGCCCGCGAGATGCTGCTGCCATGAAGAAGAGACGCAGGAAAGCGAAATAAAACGGAATTCATTCACGCACATGTTTTTGTGGCCATTGCTGTGTTGTTGCCTTCGGACCGCCTTTGCCTTTGTCCGCTCGTTTATCCTGCCATCCTTTATGGGCTCACAATTCTGATTCGATTTTTCCCACTCATCTGGCGCTCTCTTACTCGCCCTCTCTCGGGTTGTCTTTATGCGGCAGCATCTCTCTCCCTCTCTCTCTGTCTCGTAGGTCTCTCTCTCTCAGCTGCTTTGTTTCGAATATAAAATGGAAATAAAATAAGAAAATTGGGAACAAAATCAGATGTAAAAAGTTCGGTGCGTTAAATAAGAAAAACTCGGAGTAAAATATCAGGGGAAAACTGCAAAAGCGCGCAAAAAGAAGAGAATATCCAAGGGATGCGTTGCAGACAATCAAAAGCCTTTGTGTGTGCGAGAGTGTGTGTGATAAAAAAAAAACAAATAAACAAAAATCACAGAAAATAACAGAAAAATCTAGAAAATCTAGAAAATTTCAAAATATCCATTAGTTTTGCTTTGGAATAAATACTCAAAAAAGATACTAGGAATTTATTATTAAAAATTGTAAACTGTCTGCTACCCGTGTCCCCTCTTCCACCTCCTCCTGCGCTTCGCATCATCATCATCATCAACGCCCCATCTCTTTTGTCTCGCGTTTGCGCCGTCTTTTTTGCGCATTTCCCTTTTGGCAAGCTGTTTCGGTTCTGTTTTCGTTTTCGAAAAATTAAAACATCCAAAAGGGAGGACCGTTGCGTTCCGTTCCGTGTAGTTTCAGTCCAGTTTCCCAGGAGCCCAAAGTGCAAAAAAAAAAAAAACAGGAATGAAAGCCACCCCTAAAAACAACAAACAAGAATTTGTACTTCAACTTACAGTGAAGCCTTTAAAAGGGAATTTTTAGTGGAATATTAAGCTAAAATAAATATAAATAATTAAACTAACGCTTAAACTATAAAGTTAACTTATAAAACTTTAGTTTTATGCTTTTAAAAAATGATAAAGATGATTCCTTGTATAAATCAGATATTACCGGCTCATGATTTGCCGTAGATTCATTTTTTTATGGAAAAATCTTTTCACTATTGTTTTAAAATATTTATATCTCGAAATTTCTAAAGATTTTGTGAAAAGTTTACATAAATTTCTGGTCAACAAAATTTTTGTTGTATCTTAGTTGAATAAAATACAAATTATAATGTCTTTTTTAATATTAAAATCCTTGAATTTGAAATAATAATAACAATACGTCTTTAAAATGCCTTACTTAACTCAGATAAAGGGATTTAAACTGCATAACTAAATGTTTAAAATGTTCCCCAATCAAAATACCAAATTTATATGATACAGTAACCACTCGAAATATTCCCCACCTTCACTTTTATCGATTGTTAACTGTCCTTCGCCCCCTCGCTGCCTTGTCTTTGCCTCTCAATGTGCCGCCGCGCTCCGTCTCGCTTGCTCGCACGTGCGACTTTGAATATATTTTGTGGCAAGAAAATAATAGTTTTGCGTGCTCGGATATATAAAATTTAAAGTGCAAAAACGTGTTCTATATTCTCTTATTTTCCCAATTTTTTTACTTTTAAATTATTTCCACCGCAGTTAAGTGTATATCCCAAGAAAAGGAGAAACAAAAATTGTGCCAAAACCAAAAACCAAGTAAAAAATATAAAGAATCAAACCAGAATCAAATACAAATTGAAAACAAATGAAATATTTCAAAAATCGAAAGTAAAGTGAACTTTCTACCCTTGAAAAAGAGAGTAGACACCCCCTCCCCTGCATATACACGCAGAGAAATTAGCAAGGAGAGTTACACATCATATTTGCGACGCGCCCACTGTGAATATAAAAAGCCGTCAAACTGTGGGGCTCAGGGGCATTTTTTCTTCCTCCGCAAGGAATGTATTATCCGGTAAGCAAGAACGATACTAAAAACACACAAAATACAGAAAAGTAAACAGAGTCCAAACATTTCCAAACATTGCAAGTCGTAAATAACGCTGGTAAAACGGCAAATAACAATAAAAAGCAAACTCAGCTCTATTCCGCGCTGTATTGTTTGTTTGTCTGGAGTTTTTCCTACTGCAGTTTTTCAGTAGCGACTGTTGAAACAGTGATCACTCCAAGCGGAGGTTTGAAGAGTGGTTTTAAGATGGTTTAAGTGGGAATTTGGGTTAGTATAGGTAAATTTATTTGAAGAAAAGTTACTTGTTTACAGAGATTTAGGATTAATTTGGGGTGAGCTATAGGAAATGCATTATTTTCTTTGATTTTTAATGGGTAAAGTAAAAGTTAAGTATTAAATCTTGGGTAACAAAATCTTGATAATTATTTATCTAAACAGTTTGAGCACTTTTTATAAGATTTTAGATACTTAAATACAGAAAATACTCTGTTTTTACTGATTATTCAACATTTGTTATAATGCTGTAAATATTATCAAAAAGGCCTTATAGAGGTAATTCTATAGATCTTTTAGCAGAAGTCATTGCAGAGTTATCTATTGTATCTGAAAGATACCTAATTTATTCTAAAAATTCCTGTTGTATCTAGAAGATACCTAATTTATTTAAAAAAATTCCTGTTGTATCTAGAAGATACCTCATTTATTCTAAAAAAATCCTGTTGTATCTGGAATATATCTCATTTATTCTAAAAAATTCCTGTTGTATCTAAGAGATACCTCATTATTTCGAAGATTTCACTAAAAAGTATCTTGAACACCTATCTATTTCTAAACTCTTCTAACTTCTTATATTTTAATCAGAATCTCTTAAAACTCGATCATCAATGAATCTTATTTTTAAATAAAAAATTACAAAGAATGATTGTTAATAATAAAAAGCCACTTTGTAAGAGTTTAAATTTCCTTTTATTATTAAAAATAGAAATGTTGCCATTCCTCTCTTGAAAGTATTTGCATTTTTGGTCTCATCTTCTCCAAATGCACATCCTTTGTGTGTGTTTTACTCTCGATTTAAGGCGAAATCGTGGCTCGTGCTAAAATCCTTATTAGTCAAACCCTCTGTAAGTGTGTGTGTGTGAGTGTCCACACCTCTCTCGCCCCTACTAGTCCCTGCTATTTCCGTCTCTGTTTGCTCACCTATTTGCTCAGACAACAACAAATAATGTCAAATGTTGTACTCACACGTGTGTTGTGAGCTTGAGCTCTAACCTCCCCCCGAAAAAAAAGAAACCTCTCTTGGCCATTTGTTGACTTTGTCTTCGTTTTCTTTTTTTCTTCTTTTTTTTTTATGCGGGACAATTGTTTGTCTTTTGATCAGCAAAGAGAAGGGGGAAATTTGTAGGAACCGGGGGGTAATTTGATAGCCAAACCAAAAATGCGGGTCGAATTTGCGGCTTTTTGGGATTTCAGATTTCTGATTCCACTTGACTTTCATGGATATTTTTCTCATTAAAATCAGCTACATAATAGCCATACCAACAATATATTCTTAATGCCTTCCCCCGACATTATATAATTATCTGCGACTCGCGTATAATGAGACCCAATTTATTGCCTGTTCATCTGATACCCGCAATGTGTTAACAAGAACGTCTTTATATGTATATATTTTTATATGTATTTTCCCACGTCTACGAATAAATTTCAATTTTTTATTAATTTCGTTTCATTTGTCTTTTTCTCTTCTCTTTGCAGGTACGTTTGATATGCAAATTGTATAGTTAAATAACTACTTAACTGTCATATGATTGATAAGGAAGTTGGCCTAAACTAAACTTAGATCACATTTTGATGAATGGCCCTAGAAGCTGTTGTTTGGGTTAACGATGCTGATTTTTTGTTATGATGTCAGATCCGCCGCAAAATGACATTGACTTGGTTGTTCATCGCAGAACGAGTCTTTTTGGTGGGGTTTGTATTTTTAGAGAAATAAAATGAATGGAGAATGGCCTAGTAAATGGGTTTCTCAACGAAATTAAAAGGAAATCTCAAGTTTAGGAAATATTTTAAAATATTTCAAGGGTTTCTTATCTATATTATTTTAATTTTTTCATGTTTTATAAAATATTTAAAACAGGATTTTGAGCTTAAAAAACACCTAGTAAGCTTGCTAGAGTTAAAATAAAATAAAATATATTTTATATCTTTTTTCACACACTTTTTTCCAAGAAAATTCCAACTAATCTATCAACTTGTCTACTTTTTTCCCTACTTTCTTTAAGTTTCCCGTAATTTTATAATCGCTCAATGTCGTCACCATAGTTTCTATCGATTTCTAGTTTTATTTTTGCAAATGTCACTTGAATTAATTGCAATTAAAAGTTTGCCTAGCCTGTCATCGTTAGAAATATATTTTGTGGAATAAAAAATAAAAATAAACCAAAATTGCGTCGCATTAAGTGAAACCTTCCTGCTTCGAGTCCGGCGGCGATTCAATTGAAAAATTGCACATAAATTGCATAAAACTGTTTTACGTTGTCGGTCTCAGAGCGGCTGGCATAAATTGTTGCTCCAATGTTGTTGTTTTTTGAGGTTTCATCAACAGAAGGGGCTAGTTTTTTTTTGTGATTTCTTGAGGAGATCAGAGGAAGTCCATTGTGCGTGCGCAGTTAACCGCAAAGTTTTGGTTAAGATTTTTGTGTGTTAAAACCAAACAGATTTAGGCATTTATAGACTGAGTTGCAGGATTATAAAAACTACGAAAGCAGCTATTAAAACTAATCAAAGAAATAATAAGAAAAGCAGGGAGATGATAGGTTTTTAACTACATTTTAAAGATATTTTTATATAAATTTAATTATGGAGATGTTTCCCAATTTCTTGGGATTATAAATCTCGAAAGTTATGTTTATAAATCTTTTTTATTGAAGAAAATATAAACCAAGCAATTTCATTTTAACACCAATACAATATATATTTAAATACAATAAATGTTTTCTTTTAATTTCCTTTACAATCACGCAACGTACTGTATATCTCCTCTCATCTTTATGGCTTTCGGACTTAATGTCTGCTATTAATTATGTTTATTTTATTTTTGAGGCACACACACACAGTAAGTCAGAGCTTTGAAGGTTGTGTTGTTTGTCGAATCTCGAATGATTTTTTTATGTACAAAAATTACTTTCACTCAATTGGGTCTTGTTTATGGTCTTGTACCGAGTATATATGTATGATGTAGGCATGTGTCCGACAATTTCTTAAGTAGATTTTCCATTTTTCCATTACCCGGAGTGGTTATCAATCCCTGGATAGGTTCTTGTCATATTTCAATTTCATATTTCTACCCCCGCCTCACCGCTTGATTGATGGTGGACTTTATAATTTGTTTCAGGAGAGAAAATTTGAGAATATTTTTGGAAGGAACGAAGAGAAGCAGGCTGCTGAAGAGTAGAGTAGTAGAGCGCACATAAGGCCCGCATCTAATTGAGTCCATTTCCATTTCCATACCCATTTCCAGGGCAAATGATATGACAATTTATTTCAATTAAAGTTGATTTAAAAAATTGCCTGCTGTTCTGGTTCTCTCTCTCTCTCTCTTTCTGTTTCTCATCCCCCACTTAAGCACTTTGGCTTTAGAAAAGCCCCTCTATTCAAATTGCTAGACCAATCCAAATCGGGGCACTCTCTTTTTGCCTTATATAAAATGTAGGTTTCCAGTTACTTTCAAAAGCAGATTTTAGCTGCCTGATATTTGTAAATTTATTTGCAATTTATCTTAATAAAAACTAGCAAATTTTCAATTAGTTGAAGGTATTTTTGTATATATTTTTAGGATTTACCTATGGCAAACAATTATCTAAAGTGTTGCTAGTTGCTATGCTTTTACTTTGAAAGTTTTTTGCAGTCTTAAAATACATTTTATTGATAAATTATACACAATTAAGCACATTAAAAGCCAAATTAATGTATACAAGATAATAAAAACTGTTTTAAATATATCTTTTTTACGTAATTCGTTTGGAATGCAAATTAATTTGTGGGTTTTTGTTATTTTAAATTAAGGCATTTTAATCTTTAGCTTAATTCGCTTAGGTGCTGTTGAAAATCAATTAGATCTCGGCTGATAATCATCTTTATAATTATCTTAAAAATGCATGTACCAGTTTTTTTGCACTTAAAATTGAAGTTAGCAAAACGGGTAAATTGAATATATATTGTTAGAAATTAACACAACGACTGAACAAATGCAAATTTGCTGTAACTGACAAGTTCACAGCTCGAGATGAAAGAGCCAAAGATAAACAAACACAAAACGCCTACAGAGTTACGGCAAATGTGAATGACCGAAAGCGACTTTTTTGTGTTTTACAGTAAAGCCTCATAAAATCAATTCATAAAAATCAGAGGCAAGTTAGAGTTTCATTGAAATATTTCATACTTTTCCCAAAATTATATTTTAAAATATTTTAACTCTGCTAAAAATTCATTAAACCCAGCTTTGACTGTACTTCTCTCTCCCTGCGGCTGCCGCTGAGTGAAACGTTTAAGCCAAGCTTCATGCAAATTATTCGGTTCACCGATGATGGCTTGCAGGGGGTGGGGAGTAAAATGAGGGGCTAAAAAGCTAATCGCAGGTGTCAGTCACACGAGAGGTATATCCCAGGTATCTCGCCGCGCTTTTCTGCTGCTCCGGGCAATTAGCAAGATCGTCGCACGCCGCCCGCCTTCGTATTATTTTTTGTGTTTTTAAATGACTCAGCTGCGGACAAAACTTGGTCAAAACTGTAACAGGTTTTGTGTATAGTGCAGTCGCGAAAAGTAACGGTATCTGTAGCACCCAGTCAGGTCTAGCTTTCGTAGCGATTTCATAATAGTATTCGCTTCGGCTGAGTGGGCAGCAAAAGCAGCTCAAGTTCAGGTCTAGAAAATTTAACGGCAGTTTAATGATTTCGCAAAAAAAAAATATTGCAGGTTATGGGGGGGAATTAAAAAGGGAAATTTGA